ATAATCAGTGTGTTGAAGCCAGGAGCTGCAACATCCTTGTTACATGTCTCTTTAGGCAAGTTCCACGGAAAGAAGAGAAAAACAGACCTGAATTCTCACCTCATGGGCAGTGTTCACTCCTGTCATAATGAGACACTTTAGCTCCTGAGAGAAGCATTGCCTGCTCACCATCAGGACGGATGGATTATCATTTTAGCAATTGAGGAAGTCCATGCAGAGTCTCTGGTCCTGCTGTTTGTCACTTTCTTCCACAGCCATGGTTAATGGTGTAGCCATTTACACACACCCCCCAAACAGGCATAAATTTTTTCTCCCATAAGAGGGTATTGGCTGGATATGACAGTTATAGGACTAAAGGAGCAGCTGGCGATGTCAGATTCAAGGCAAGTAGGTTGTCTTGGCCACCCTATTTAGCAGATGGCCAGGACTTGATAGATTGAAGATTATTAGGATCCCAGTCAAGGGCCAAGTGACACAGTGGACAGGAAGAGTTAATGGCAGACACGGGCAGTCTGATGGGGCCTCCCTGCCTTCATGTCATTTTGCTTTAAGCAGGAATAAACGTAGTCCCTCCTGTAGAGTATGAATTTATAGACACATTTCCAGACATCCCTGAGAATTGGCTACTAGTTTATAGTTGTCTGAATCCTGAAGCTGGTTGTGATTTGGAAAAGAAAATTTTGCGAAGTTTGGATTTCATCACTTATTTTATGAATTTGGCCTTTTGCCCAAATCTAGATGTCATGGTTTCCAGTATTGTTAACATCTCTGTGTTTTAGTTATCTCTAAAGACAACTTAAAGGCTTTAATTCAGAGCCTTCCGCTGCATTTGTATGCTGCCCTTTTGAAGAGATTGCAATGAAAGCCACCCTGCAGTGGAAGTTCCAGGAGCTGAGGTTTGCAGTGAGAGCGCATGCCATGCAGAGTAAGGGGGTGTCCCTGACTCTTTGTCCATTTTGAACTCATTTATGCAATTGCTGCCTCCTCGGGTTTGCTGCAAAATTCTTTTGATCTTAGTGGGAGGAAGCAAATTTCAAGAGCCGGGAAAACTCATGTGGCTTTAAAAGGAGCAGCAGATTATGAATCGAGTGGATGTCAAATAAAACATAAATTTGGATCTTTTGAAATTCAAACTCAAGTAGGTATTTCTTCTAGTGCCAAGCACATTGAGCAGCTCAGGGATAAAGTTGCTGTTGTTTGACATTCATTTAAATATTAGTGTTTGGGTCAAGTTGTTGCCCAGCAATATGCATTATTGAAAGTTGCCTTTGTACTCAGAGCATTATATGTCTATTCCTCGGAATGACATTATGAGATTGTAGCCCCATTTTACAAATGAGGACACTGAGACTCTAAGATTCATCCTTGACTCAGATTCTCTTTCTGCGCTACCCTATGGCCTCTTATATCCTAGATGGAACCAGAACATAAAAGCAGTTTGCTAAATTAACCTCCTTCCCCGTAGGTCTATTTCATAGCTACACAAATTGCTTACCTTATGTCCATGAGTTCTTTGTAGTGTCAAATGGATGGAAATAATGAGTGGAGGGGATTATTTCATTTAGATTTGTGACTTACCTGGAACGAAGTCACTTATTAGCATGCTTTTTAGGTTCTCCAATCCAGGTTTTGGCACTAGGTATAAATGAGAGAGTGAGATCAGTATTATTAATGTTACCTTGAGCAGCCAGTAATCTCCATTTTTCTCTCCCTTCTCATTCATCTTCTTGACCCCAGCAAAATAAACCAACAGTGGAGTCTGTAGAAGGTAATGGGCATGGTAGAAGACTTTTCATGTATGGGATTGCTTAGAATCACCTGTTGCCCTTTGAGCTGGAATGAGCAGAGCCTGAGTAATCACAGAGATAATCTAGTGAGAAGCAACCAGAAACTGAACCTGAATTGGTTTGCCTCTTGCACTGACTACAGATGTTGTCGGTGGGTCATAGAGATAGAGGATCCAAAAAAAAAAAACACTTAGAAATTCACGTCATCAGATTAAGACTAAATGAATCATTGGGCCTTCCTGATGGCTAAGGGGTTAAATCTCAGTGCTATCACCACTGCAACCTGAGTTTGATCCCTGACCAAGGAGCTTAAACAACATATGGCACAGCAGACCTTTCCTGTCTTGCCTGGTGCTCTCCTCAGCAATGTATTTTAGTCAATCCACCTGTTTCTACTTTGTCTCTGGTGAATCATCTCACCACCCACACCTCTGGCCTACACCCCAGTTCTTTTGTACAAAATAAAAAGAACACTAAATGCATTAAAGAGTCCCTATGACTTGGAAACATCCTCTGCAGTTGGGGTAGAAGATCAGCTATCTCTGAAATGTCAGCATAACGGAGGGATCGCACAATGGGGGAGAAGCTCAGGAGTTGATCAAGTTGACAGCAAATATACTGTCTTGTGTTGTAGTAGCTCATTGAAACAACAGAGCGTATTGGCCATAATATTACCGAGATCATAACTTGCCCCTCATCCTCTACCTCTGCATATATTCATATACTTTTTTTTGCAACAGTGATTCCAATTAGTTAAAACAGCAATCACTTTTTGTTTTAATTCTAAGGGTGACTGGTCAGTTCTTTTGGCCAGGTCCAGTTTACCTGCCCTCTGCAGATGTAAGTTGTTCAGCTGAGGTTGTGTGGTTTGACCTGGCTTGTGGTGGCTAGGTGTGGAACAACCTTAATTTAGATTGTTTGTGTCTATTCCATTTGGTATCTCATCCTCCAGGAGACTAAAATGAGATTCTTTCCTGGTCTAAAGATTTCAAGGAGTAACAAAGCAAAGTGAACTTCCGTATTCAATCCTGTACATAAGCCTCTACCTACCCCTTGGTCTGTAATGTCCTGCTGGCAAAAGTAACCCATGTGGTCAAGCCCAGTTTAGAACATTATAAATGTTGCAATACTCTTGTTGTGAGGAGTGACAAAGTCAAATCACAAGGTGCATGTGACAAGGATAATAAGAGTTTCTGGCTCTTTGCCATTTCCCACAGATACTGACTAACAACAGGCAATTGAACTGGCCTGAACATCTCTTTCAGACTGAATCTGGAGGAGGAAGGGAGACCATTTTTTGTCTGTTACTTAAGTTTGATAGAGAGATTATTTCTCTGATCTCTCATTCAATCACTATTGAAATTTGCCCAAATTTACTGGTAGGCTCTCTTATCTTGCATTTTTAAATTGCAGTACTACTCATAACCATGTCTTTCAATTTTTGATCAGGTCTTTATTTTATGCAAATAAGATTTTTTTTTCATTTTGATGTATTTTATGGATATCTGCCTTTCAAGAATACTTTGTGTTTCAAATTGCATGTTAAACACTTGACTAGAGCTTCCTTTTGGGCAATTTTGAGATATGCCTATGTTGACTACCAGAATGCCACCTTTGTGAGCTGGTAAGCTGAATTCCTAGTTCTCTACTTAAAAACAAAGCTGTCGTGTTTACAATGGGATATCAAATTCTACATTATTTTCTTAGCCTGTAAACGTAACACCATACATAATGACACCTGAGTTTGAACTTGGTCACAATGCAGGGCTCTTGGCATTAATATGTATTCACTGTTTTCTCATAGACCGTCTAACATGCATTTCTCAGTATCAACTTCCGCACCATTGGGCCAGGTAGTGTTTTGCTGTGGGCACTATTCTGAGCACTATGGAATGTTTAGCCACAGTTTTGCCTCTTTCTACTTGACGCCACCTGCCCCCCCCCTTCCACTCCTTATACAACCAAACATGGCCCAGGACATGGTCAGATGTTCTGGGTATTGAGCAAGAAGTTTGTTAAATATGGGTCCTTATCAGAGTGTAAACTAGAAACAGTAACCCAAAGGGAGAAATCTGTAAGGCGTGTGAGGAGGGAAGGAGTGTGAAAATTTTTCTACTACTTTAAAACTGAACCTAAGATAGCCCTGGATTCCTCTGGATTAACTAGGAAACATCAAGTTGAGTCTTGCTACACTTTGAAAGGTTCATCAATATCTCAAGTTCATTACGGTAGAAGTAGATTAAAGGGAAATGCCATGCCTGAAAAAAAAAATTCAAGAGCTATGTTGATGGCAGATATGGATTTGGCAAAACTACTTATTTGAGGAAAGTTAATCCTACATAAACATAGAGAAAATTGTGCTGTGACCTATCTGCTACTCATCACCTAGGTGGTAAATGATTGCTTAAGTACTAACCTTGTTGCTTTTATACTCCACTCACTTCCCCTGCTATCTGCTCCTAGATTATTTTAAAGCAAATTCAGAATTGATTTTATTTGTAACTATTTCATTATGTGTCTAAATGACATAAAACTCAATATGATAGTATGCTGGTAGAATTTTTTTTTTTTTGGGTCTTCTAGAATAGGGCAAAATTGAGAAGTAATCCTCAATTAAAGTTGTGGGACATATTGAAGGTCAAGGTCAAAGAAACTTAACTCTTGGGTGGAATTCAAACGCCTGAAGGAAATGAAGGTGGATGACGCTGTCCCTTTGAGCTGTTTTCCTCTTCTCTCCTGTTTTGAGTGAATGCGCCTAGTATCAGGGCACCAGGCAACTTAGAAAGGAGTACAGACCGGCGAGTAGCAGAGTCACTTTCTAAAAAGAGAAGAAAATACAATCACAAGGTCTTGAAATATTCCCTCTGTGATAGATTGCTGTCTGATGACTTTCAATGACTTTTTAGCCCATCAGGGTCTACTTTTAATAAAACAAAGCAGGAGAGAAGTTTTGCAGTTGCTTTTTAAGATTTTGCTAGGACTGTAGTGTTGCTTTCCTGTTCTAATGTATTCTGAGAAGTTTCTTTCTTTTGATTTAGACTTCCTGACTTGATTTTATTATGTCATAAATCTCCTGTGTTTCGTGAGAGCCATGTGAGACTTAAGCAGCTTGCTAGATAACATCTCTTCCCCTTTCTCTTTAGAAGATTAAACTGAGACTGTTTTGTCTGATGCCAGAACAGATTTAACCAATCATGTTTCCTTTACATGTAGGTCAGTCCAAGGGACAATTCTGCGCTGGATCCTATTATCCATGGGTTGAAGGGCGTCGTACATCATGGTAAGTAAGCCACATACACTTTGCTTTGCTGGGATGTGGAGAGCTAAGATCTCCACCTAAAGGAATGGGGTTATCTTGCACAGGACAGAGGGTGACACCTATTCCTCATCCTCTGATGTTGAAGGGCATTAGAGCCATTATTTGATGGGTAAAGAGCTTGTGCATTTATAACTTGCAGATGAACATGGGTTAACAGTAAGCAATTTGTTTCTTTTCAGGTACCACTGTGAATGCATAGTTATAAATCAAAATGTCCAATAATATTCCATTCATATACATTGAAGCTGCCATTTATTCCATACCTTTCCTAAAAAATATTCTTCTTTCAAGTATTTTTTCATTTATAAAGTTCTTGATTTGCCTTTCAGATTTAGGGAAGAAATTTAAGTAGCTGTGGCAAGCCATTAAACTGTGCCACATGTGAGCAAGCATCATCAACTGCTAGGACAGAAAAAGCTAGGTCGTTGTTGTATGCAGCAGACGGTTTACCCACAGGCATGAAACTGGGAGAGAGTGTAAGATAAATGGGTTCTGTCTCTCCCTACTGGTTTTTTATTGGAGGAACTTCCCTGCAACTTTATTATTGCCAATGCATCATTACCTATGACATCAGAATCCTCTAACTTCAGAAGGACCCTTGTCCCAGAGAGGTGTGGAGTCTAAATGTAATATAATGATTTGCAAAGTTTTAATAATCTAATTAGAATTCTGAAGACATTGACAGAAATAGCATTAGTAACCATAATAAATGTCCCCTTCATCTCTAAGACTGTGATAAAATGTCTTCACACATTTCTTGAGGGATCAGCTTTCAACATTAGCCACCTCTGCAGAGCTTTTTCTCAGGGAAAATGCAACCAATTGTCAGTGTTCACTTGAAGCAAATAAGTTTTCAAATTAATTGTTCTGCTCTTAGAACTGCTCCATCAAACAGCAGGTAACAGCAACAAATACAGTGAAAGTAGGAAGACAGGGTGACTAAAAGCACCCCATAGAGATGTCCATTGTAGAAGGTTTCCATTGCTGCCCCTCAGTTCTCAATCTCACTTTCTGTCTCCAGAGTAAACTCCACATTTCGCTGGAAGGAAGGCTGTGTAATGGTTACCATATTGAACAAAACACCTTGCAAAACTGAGTCTGTCTGTGCCTATGTGTTTTGATGTGTAGGACAAACATGATGATTGTGGGAAGGGATAGAGGAGTTTGCATTATACTGTGGGCAGCCTCTGGAAGGCAAAGAAAGCTAGTATTGTGGATGGTGTTGTATATTCTGAATTTCTTTCCCAGAAGATTCCCTTGAACACAAAGTTGATTAAACTCTTTGAAATTCTAGCCCATGTCTTGTAGATTATGAGTTTTTGGGGTTTGACGTGTAGTAGATGATGGATGGGTCTTCCTTCCCTTTGACTCTTCTGCTTTTGTAAAAAAAAAAGTACACCATGAAGAACTCTAGAATCTTCAAAACATGTACATATTTTTTAACCAGAGAAGAACACCACCTACAACCTACAGCATTTGAATAGATTTAGGTTGTCTTATTTCCACAATAATTGAAGATTTCCATCTGTTGAAGATAAATCGTAGGCTTCCTTTAACTCCGAGATCACCAGATCTCCGTAAACTCACTGTGTAGTGATCACTTGGTTCATAAATTGTGTGCTGGCACAATCATGTTATCCATCCTTGAGGCTGTTATATGATGGTAGGGGTGATTTGCCTGGCAGTGGGAGGGTGGCAGAGGTGTCTGGGATATGTTTGCAATCCTGCCTTCTAATTGAGAAGACAACAGAGGCCTGCAAAAACTTAACTACCTGTAAAGGACGTTCACATATTTATTCAGCAAAAGTGTTGTGTGCCCTCTCTATGGGGCCCGGGGACTGGACATCAGTTAAGACAGACGCTGTCCAACCCTGTGGCTCCGGTAGGGAGACCATGTACTGCTCCATCCTCCTCCAACCTGCCAGAGTGATGCTCCTCCTGGCTGTTGCCTTTGCTGTTTTATTTCCTCTGTCAGGAAAGTTCTTTCTGTCCTTCATAGCCAGGGTGTTTCCCACTTATTATTTCAAGTCTCAGTTAAAATCTGGCCACCTCAGAAACTCTTTTGTTAATTACCATGACAAATTATCCACCTTTTCCCCATCCCCATCACTTCCTGTCATTAATCTCTGCCATTTCTTTGTAGCACGTAATAGTAGCTGAAATCACTTTGTTTGCTCATATATCATCCACTGAAGTGTAAGCTTTTTGAGGGTAGGAAACTATGTTATTGCAGCAAATAGATGCTCAATAAATACTACTGAGATAAGAAATCAGAAAAACAAATAAGTGAAAATATCAAAATACAAAGTTGCAAGAAGGGGAGGCAGGACTCCAAAGGTTAGTTGGATCGTTGGGGAAGAGAAGGGAACAGGATAATATACTGAAAAAAGATTTTGCTCTCAGTTTTCAGGCTATTCCTGACTTCCATTTTGATAGTTCTCTGTGCTTTTGTCATTCTTTCAAAAGAGAATGCACACTTGAAGTGGCTAAGAAACCTGTGGGAATTGAAAGCATTTTCAATGGAAAATCCTGTGAAGGATTTAAGTGATCTATTAATTGGATGGAACATAAATAATCATACCCTTCACGGAGTCTCTGACTTGGGAATGGTAGAGATACGTAAAAAGAAAAAAATCAGTATGGATTTCTGTTACAGTGCAGAATTGACTTTTATTTCTTCAGCTCTGGGACTCATATCTTAGAATATTAATTTCTCATTAAATGGATGGTTTTTACTGGGAAGAATCGTATATGTTCCTCCAGCTGAAATGACAATGAGTAATCTGGTCACACCAGACAATCATTCTTGGTACTTGGACTTCAGAGACCTCTGTGAAGTGAACACCAAGATGGAATTTTTAGTATTGGAGAGATTTTTGTCAGGAAGGGCTACCTGGGAAGGATAAAGAAGAGAGCAAGCAGGAGTAGGTGTAGGTCTGACATCTACCTGAAGGGAAAGGGGATAACAAAGTCTTAGCCAGGTCATCAGAGAACACCAGAGCCAAGACTGCCCTGAGTAGGAATGCTGGGCTCCCCACCTGCATGGAGCTGCCCAGACAGTGGCCAGATGCGTGAATACCATGGTAGGTCCCCAAGGTGCTGCAGCTGCAGGCTGTCAGTGAACAGATCTTCTCAGAGAGAAGATCTTAGAGATCTGGTAGGAAGATCTTAGAGATGCAGTCCCATGACTGACACAAAAGGTCACATCTGCCTTTCAAAGACATCTTCTTCTTTTTTTTTAAAGATTTATTTATTTGTGCATACAGAACTGGGGTACAGGCCAGAGGCTCAGGGGCGGCGAGAGGCTTCACCATAGACAGAGTGGGGAGCAGAACAGACAGATCAGCGAGGTACACTGCTGAGGGGAGCAGCGGGCGGGTCAGAAGAGGTCTGCCACGTCATGTGGTAACCTCCAGGGCACACGGGGATTGAACTCATGCGGAAGTGGCTTTACCTTCTCAGTACTGTGCTTTAACCCGCTGAGCCACCAGGGAGGGCCCTCAAAGATATCTTCTTAATCACACTTCCGGAAAACTTTCTGCTTGGTCCTCTAACTCAAAAATGCTCAGAGGTTTCTTACAAGCAGTGCTTGTGCCTTTGGTGTATAGTTACCACATGCCTAATCTATGTACACCATGAAGCTAGAGACAAAACAGCCCTTGCTGAATTTAAAAACTCTTGGAAGAGATGTGATTAAGCAAGTAATTATATTAAAGATGGAAAGCAGCTGATTTAACTCAAACATGGGCATCTAGAAAAGCTTTCTCAGACAAAATGAGCATGAAGATCTCAAGAATCATAGCAATTGTCCAGGCAGAAAGGGAGCTTAGGGTTTCAGTCAGGACCAGCGTAGGTGAGGGTGTCTAGGGGTGAGAGAAGAGAGGCATGTTTGAGTTTCTGAACTCCGTTACATAGCGTCTGTAGTGATGGGATACTTAGAAATCTTTTGGTGCTTTAAAGTGCTATTCATGTATCTTCATTTTTCTATGTAATTTGAGTTTTTTTTTCTTTTTTACAAACTCAAGAGCCATGAAGAAATATAGAGGAGAGATTTGCCATTTATTCTCGTTCCATCTATCCAAAAATAGACAATACAAATGAAAGCATCAAAATGTCTCTAGTTAGGCATTTTACTTCCATGACCACCAATATCCACCAGAGAGGAAAGAATTAGGGAGAAATTATGAATCTTATTCACTCCTACATGGACACAGCCATTGTAGTGTTTTTTGTATACAGGAACCAGTGCTTATGAGTGGCTACTCCAGATAGAAATACTGATTCCACAGAGTTAATCACGTCCTAATTTTTCTTAAAACCCATTTTTTAAAATTAGCCATTATTTGAATTTGTATAGAAAAGTAGCCATCATTTATAAATAATTTTACGCAAGTGATCCTGTTATATGTTATATGCTAATTTGTTATCTCGATTTTTTTTCTCTCTCTCAAGTTTTGGATTTCTACCTTTCTATCCATTTTCATAGTATCGACCCAAGAATATTCAGTAAGCTATTTGTGTAGTTATTCTAGAATACTGTCAAAAGAGGCATTGAAACATGAAACAATCCCCTAAGTCAATCATCTAAAAGAGACCAGTTTTTAATTTTTGATGGGAAACTTGCTAGGAGCAATTGATGAGCTTTGTCCATTTGTCCATCTCCCACTTTGCCTCACTTCCCTCGTGTAGTGCCTTAGTGAATGGGAAGCTTTCTTTCTCATTCAGATGAATGGGAGGGGGACACTTCTAGATTGGCCCAGACACAAGAGAATCTCCCACCCTGCAAAAAACGAGAGGCTCTTTTCTCTGTCATTCCCCTATTCTAAAAAAAAAAAAAAAGCTATTCACTGAAAGTTTAAATAAAGGATTACTTGAGGTCACTTTCACAATCAAGGCTCTTGTCAGTTTTCCTTGTTAACACCCAACAATGGAAGCTGGGCAATGACAACTCAAAACTTCCT